CGGATACAGATCTTTTATTGTCATAAAAATACAAGGTACAATTATAAAATTTTCCTTCCTTAATGCAAATCTACTCCAGTATAAAAATAAACATAAATATATAAGAAAGCACATATGGTATCACAAAAACACAATTCTAACTACACTCCACTTAAAAATACATTAATTTGCTCTTTAAAGAGGAAAAATAGGTGGGAAGAGAGGACATTCCCCTTGTGTTCTCTTTTTTTTCATAGTCAGATTGAGAAACATTTGTTTATTTTTTTTTTTACTTGAGAAGTATGCAAATTAAGCCTTTGACAATTTTACAGTGATACTTCCAATATGACAGCTCATGAAGGGTAGAGAGAATTTGTTATCATGGTACAACTTCCATTACCTTTTGTTATGATAATGATGACTATTATGATCGTACTAACGATCTAATGTATTATTACTGTATATTTTGATAGTACTTATGCTGGTGATATTGCAGACCAAAAAGTATCAATAAAATGATATAACCATTCAATATAGAAGTCGCATGTGACTTGTCGTCATAGATTATGAGAGCTTGCATATAAATTGCTTACATGTACAATCCAGAACTTGCTGATATCTAATTGGTTGTGTTTCGAGGTGGGTCCAGGGAAGACAGAAAGGAGTGTGGCCTCTAATTTGTATTTATTTTAGTACCAAAATAAAGCCATATTTACATTTAAAACTAAAGAACCTCCCCCACCCCCCAGCCCAATATCCAACGATCTGTTGCTGTATGACCATCGAGGTACAGGAGCAGAGGTGGGTCCAGGGAAGGCAGGAAAAAGTGTGGCCTCTAATTTTTGATTTATTTTAGTATAAAAATACAGCAATATTTACAAGTAAAAACTAGAAAATCCCCTCAACTCCGATCCGTCACAATATGACCATCGAGGTACAGTACCAGTATAATAGGGTATGACCATGGACCTATTAACAATTATTACTAATTACTAATTAATTATTAATTAGCTATTATTAATAGGTCCATGTTATGACTATCTTACCATTGGCACTATGAACAAACAGCTGTCATAATAAGCCATGGTATGTTTAGTATTCTGGAAGCAAATCTAATTCCTTGAATGCTTACTGTAAATAGGCGCTCAGTTGAAATCTGCTGTGAGGGGATTAAGAAGATTAACTCTCATGTGTTAACAATAGCATTAGGGGTAATTAGCAAAACCATAATGCTACTAATAACCCCCTACCACCATCAGCATGATACAAAATAAATATACAAAGACCAATAAGCTACCAATAAACAGTTCTTAACACATATTCAGATATTTCCTAATTTATCATAATCTCTGCAAGCCTACAAATAGTACATCACAACAACTTTTTCCATCATTCAATGGTCTGAAATAAAATTTAAATATAGGTATATAACAATGGTAAGGGGTATGTAAATTGCAATGATAGGACCAATGATATTTGAACGTACAGTATGGAGTAATATTAATATCAATCAATCAATCAATCAATCAATCAATCAATCAATCAATCAATCAATCACTTTATTGTCCACAATTTACAATTCATCCATTGCTGGTGTATATGGTTTGTTTCTTGATAAAGAATTTCCATTTTTTAAATATTTTTCCACCCTCCTTTAAAAAAAGAATTGAAGACAGATTTAATGAGAATGGAGCAATAAGTAGGTCTCTCAGACCACCATGGAATATTAATCTTTCAATGCTACATGCATGTGTACTATATGATAACGTACTATCAAGTTAGGTAAATAATCAAGAAAACGTAAACAACAATCCCTGAGTATCAATTTTTATCAACACATTTAGTATGGTAAGGCAGATGGATGCTAATTTGACTACAATCCAAATTTAAAGGATGAAACTAGGATTTTTTTTAAACACAGTTGAGCTAAAAGAGGTGTTGCATTACTGTATCTTGTGAATATGGTTTTAGAGAAAATTTACCCCCCTCACACCCGCCGAAAGAATACAGCACATAACAGCATTTTATCACTTTAATATCATCATTGTCTTTTTTCCATTGAAAGTATTCACTTTTTTCCCCATAAAAGTATTCACTTTTTAACTGCCTATTGTGGTACTATACTTTTTCCATCAATTACGGAAGATATACACCTATGAAATACTAAATAAAGATTGACCTTTCTGTTTATTGAAGTTAAACAAACAATCCTTTAGTTCTATCGAATTGTGTATTGAGTAGAAGGAGTAGAAGCAATGCCATACTTTATAAGTCACAGTTGTGAATCATCGTCTGAAAAAACAGAGGACTATTCAATATTACGACAAATATCTGAAATATTGATTCTTTATTGGCACATTTCCTGAGGGAAGGGTATGGGACACAAGGGCTCTACTGTTGTAGTGAGAAATTGATTAATGGGAAGGAAAGTGGTACTTAAAAACTAGTGTCTAGGATATAACTTTAAAAGCGGCCACTTTTAATAATCTCTTTGATGAATACAACTGTGGTTGCCAAAAAAACAGAATGCAATAAGGAAATGTATACAAAATTGAGGCCTTTGGTTTTATAACTTTAAAGTTATTGAACTTTCTATAGTCTCTTTATTGAAAGGAACTACTGGTAGTTATTTTGATTATAATAAATGATTGTGAATTTGTAATTGCGGATAAATGCCCTCAATGGCTCAGCTTGCTCCCTCAAATTATAGACCACTTTTGGGACAGGGGTCACCATGGTCTTTAGCGTCTTTGGTCTCAAATTAGAATAATATTTTCTCTGTCCTCAAAAAAGGGACAGCACACTGCATACAGTAAATCTTGTGATGTCTTTTATTTCTATTTTCATTTTTAATAATACTGGTACTGAGTAGTAGTAAATTGTTTGCAAATCAAATACTGTTAAGCTTAGTCGAATAATTTCTAAGTGGATCTTATTTTACATGCCAAATTGTTGTGTTTTCCATTATTTAACAATCTGTAAGTCAAATTTTATTAAAGGCAACAATTTTTCAATGTCATTTTGAATTCAACTTAGGCAAGTTCAACTGCCAAATAAAATTTTAAGTTCATAAACCTACATATTAATGCTGACATTTACTAATATACATAGAAGCTTAATAAATATGAATTTGTTATTACTTGGTATTGCTGAGTACTAAGGTGACAGTACAGTACAGGCAACTCAGGCTGTACTTTTAAAAAAATATTCCACCATAAAGGGCAACAGAAATAAAATAGTTCTTGTAATCTCGAAAGCTCCGATGAGGGCAGTATAATAGAGACAGTAGAGTTTATTGGCCTGAACGACCACCCATACAAAAAAGATCTATTAATCAATCAGCCAAGTCTTTCCAGAGCTAATCATCGTAGCTAAAAATTACTATAGTAGCAAATGTTTATTAATTCTGTAGTCATTGTCAGCAGGTGCATCAGTAATGTATGCGGCAATGAACTGTATCATCCAATCACAACCAGGAAAATCAGGCTTTTTACATTTTCAATATGCATACTGTGCTGACTCACCCAAGATCACAATGTAACTGTTTCTTGACTCTTGCTCAATATTTCAGAATGCCATACCTACAAATGTTTTTAAACATTTTACCAACTAAGCCAATTTGTAGTTTGAACTGCGCATGCTCTTATGAAGGTCATCAACATAAACAAACATACACACAACATATGTCTGTGCGGACTGACCTTGGTTACTACTGGATACGTACTGTACATGTGCAGTTCAAACCACGAATTGACTTTTTCGCCTTTGCTTAAATCAAGCTCCCACAACTTAACCTTGAGACCATTCCCCACCAGAGACAACCCCACCCCCATGTCATATGACACTGATTGCAATGATCCTTCTTAAAGGCAGACAGGACAGCATTGCTGCTGGTAGACCAGGAGAATTCAAATTTCGTACAAATCTGCTGATTAAATGATAAAAATACATTCCAAATTCCAATCCTTCAATAAATACTTTGTAAAGCTTTAAACATTGCTCATACATGTAATTTGTACTACTGAATGCAGCTTCAATTTTTTTTTACCGAATAATCAAGTTATTCATAAATGTCTTGACTATTGAGACTAAGAATCACATTGATGATTCAATGGAATGGAAACATGATACAAGAATAATATCACAACCAGGTAAACCAAACCGCACAGGTTAATTAGATTATTGTCGCATCGGTAATGATGAAACTAGATGCTTATGAAACAACGTGCTGGTAGAATATCCATCACATTATAAATACAGTATGGTGAAAGCCAGTAAGGGGGGCAGGGGTATTTGTGCCCCCGTCGGACAGGCCTTGACCCCTGTCGTCCGACACCATAAGGTTGTTGGACAAAAAATAATAATTTGCCTATCCAAAACGTTATTTTGATTGCCAATCCCTAATAAAGTAGTCTAAAAGAACAATTTTGGGCCATATTAAGCTATAAAAACTCTTCCCATGAACCCTACTAGGATTTTTTATTCCGGAACCCTGATCAAGGCTCTAGTCGGACCATTGGTTCAAAACCCACTGGCGGACATGTCGGACCCCTTGCCAGCATATTTCTGGACCACCACTGTGAAAGCTAGAAATGTTTCAATGTTTCCTCAAAATGAAAGTAGCAAGAAAGGAGCTTAATATTTAGATAAAGCAGAATATAAGAAACATCTTTTTATTTCACTTCATTATACAGCCATTCCCATGAGCTTCCTACTCAGCTAGTCGAGTGGCCAAGTGGTAAGGCAAGGAACAAACGCTTCAAAGTTTGCATCGTACCGCACCACAACCACGCCCTCTATTGTATATTTCACCTATTTCTTTACTTCTTAATTTTGCTGTTTCAAGAATCAATTTTTCATATTTCTTCAAGTGTTGTATCAGTTTTTTTCAACTTCTGTTTTTTTAATATTTATGAGGTATAGTAAAACAAATGGTATTATTTCGGTAAAGCAGTGAATAATCCTTCCCTCAATCCATGTTGCATTTGTATAATGTGAATAAATAAAAAACTCAAAGCATCCATTATTCATTATAACAAGGTATTTTATTTTTCAAATAGAACATGACAAACTATTAAAATACTCATTATTCATAGCAAGAATGCATGAAATTAAACACAAAAATAAATATATTTGGACACAATCAACACAACCAAAAGGAGTGCAAAGAAGTTTTAATGAATTTCATACCAGTATGTAGCATACCAGTTCATACCAGTTGAAATCCAAAGAGTTTATAAGTTAGTAACAAATTCAGAAAATATACTTTTTTTTTCCCTAATAATCGTTTAAAAATTCTAATCTGTAAAACAAAATTAATATATAACAAGTTTTATATAATTTTTGTACATCTCTTCAAATTAAATGTTAAAACAATGAACTGTAAATTCGATCAAATAAAATACCAAGGAACTAAACATCCTCCCTTGATGAAGATAGTCATTTCGGCCAAATATAAAAAAAAAATGTTTCTAGTCCTGGATGAGTTGCTTTTTTTTTTATTCAAGTGGCCATATCCACCACCATACACATACATAATGCTGCAACTGTACATGTGCAATAGATTGAGTCTGACTCATGCTTAGGCCCAGTCTCAACATTATGAATCAGTAGATTTCTGTGATTTTTTTCCTCAAGTAAATAGGCAGCTCAAAAATGGGTTGAGGGAAGAGACAGAGAAACAATTTTTTTTTTCTAATTGGCCTCAACATTCATACAATGAAATTAAATAAACTTAAAATATCATGAGAATATATGGAATACAATTAATTGTGTAACTTTAGAATACTGTCAGTAAAATAAATAACTGCAGTGTACATGGTAATTACAATTACTAATTGAATTTATGATAATTGTATAGTGAAAGGGTTAAATACATCAAGCCAAACATATAAATGGAATTAATCATTGCTACGAGGCTCATTAGCATGGCTAGGGAAAACTATGGAAATATCCCTGCAAACAGCACTGAATATTATCTGCATGCAATACTGAAGCACAACACCAATAATGAATCTGATTGGCTCCTGCCATCCATACACCAACAAGTGTTCTTCTCGCTTGACATCTATACAATAATATTGATTATTTCTTACGAATTGGGATGAATCAGCAAAGCCCAACCACTAGAAAGCATATTATTATGAAAACACATTATGCACGTCAAATTCGGAATAATACGGAAAGCAAATTTCCAACCACAGAGGCTGTGCAAGGAATCATGAATCCTATAGGATCGATGATGGAATGAATGCATATTGTGGAATATTTAAGAATATTGTCAACCAATTTCTAAACAATATATATCATAACCAATAAATCAAAATAGAAAATAACTTATGTTAAAAACATATGAAATAGTCACAAGATGTAAACTAATTCCAATTATTACCTGTCATTGCATCAATTTTTGTTGTTTATTTGTACATAGTTAGGTGTATATTATATTGTGATGAGAAGAATTTCAGCCATTGTCTTGGAACACCCAAATAAATAATTAAATCATGTATTAAACTCAATAAAATAAAAAAGATGTAAAATATAAGACAGAATAGTAAGGTGACACATTGTGCTTTACCTTACATTTCCATGTACTCAGTGGGAATTAAAACTGAACAAGACAACAAAAAAGAAACATAAAAATTCTCAAAGACCATAAGTTTGGATATATAGTATAAAAGACATTTTGGGACAATGTGTAATGGTACATAGACCCACTGAAGATATTTAGAAGGTGTGATTAAACATTCTTTTGTACAGTAAGCCAGATGACCAATAACTAACTTGTGAAGTCTGAGAGCTTGAGTGTGTAAATGTACACCTTACAGTCAGCTACAATGAAATGTTACTAGTAATATTATGTGTAATTTAAGCAAAATCGATTAATTTAAATAAGATCTTGTGTCTACCTTTTATAGGAAGTGTGGCCAACATTCTCTAGAAGGGAGGTTTTAGCATACAATACGTAATGGAATAACAGTTTATTTGATATAAATATTGTACGCACATGAAGTCAGCAGACAATGTTACAGTATAAATGCTTTGTGAAACCTCCCTACTAAAAGCCCGATACTGACTTTTACACCAACCTGAATAACATTAAAACACTCAACGAAAATATAATGAAATTTAGATTTTGAAAGTTAAATACAGTATAGTTTATTAATGCAGATCAGACAATTTTTATAGTGAATTTTAAATGGCATACTTTACCATAAAACAAACTACACTTTCAACTTAAAGTAATATAAAATATTGCAGTACATGAATACCATACATGAATTTTAAGCATGTTTTGTAGATAAATACACTTTCATTATTTAAAATTGAGGTTTGAAAGAATAATTGGAAACTCAAATGATATCAATAAAATAAAATGAATGGACACAACAAAAGTTAATTCAAAATATGAAAAAAGATAGGTGGGAAGTAGGGAGGAAATATTTTAAATATCTTTTCCCAACTTTATTACTTTAAAAAATAAGGAATATAGTGCAAGTGATTTGGGGAATGAGAATAGCAAATTACCTGGAGATACTGATCAACCAGATGGAATATGGTACAATAGAATGAAACAAATTAAATGTCAAACTTGGTGTAATGAATGGCTACTGTACAGCTAAAAATTCTTCAAGTCTATTATCACAGGGAATGAACCAAACACTTTATGAAGAGATTGAAAACAACAAAAATGTCCAACCTATCCCTCCTACAGTAAGTATTCCTTTGTACTAGAGAAAGACTATTCAATTCTACAGTATATTCTATAATAAGTTACAAGGTATGACGAAAACACAAATTTGTATGTATTTTCTGGTGTTAATGTACTTTTAAATCTCTTATATTTTATAATGTAAAATAGATCTTGTTGAAATAAAACAAATCATTTTCTGGTTTAATATTATTGGAAGTAAAAATTAAATCAGTTTCAAAATCTGAACATTTTTTGATGATATCACAGTGCACATTGGGCTCACAATTCAGGGTCTTTTACCTTGAAAATCATTATCAAAATTGAGGATTAACTAAAATTTCAAGCACAGTGTACAATACATTACATGTTGAAATCCACATAATTGTGGTTAAGCTGTACATTATCTTTTCCAATCAAAGTTGTGCTAAGCCTGTACAAACAACCATTCATTAGGTCACAAATTCCCCAAATGAGGTCCGCTACAGCTGCTATGCACACAATACACTTTACCCATTAAAGCCTTTCCTCTACAATTCTTACACTCTGTGGTAAATTTTAATAGTCAAAGAGATTTTGACAAGAACAACTTGTTCTTCAAAATTCACCTGTACAGTAAAGAATAGTGAGGTATCAATAAATACATGGAAGGTATTGACAACTGATCTGTCTTCCATACAATTACCACTAACACACAAATTCCACAAAAGATTGCACAGTCTGGATAATTTCAGAGGTTTTTTTCAATTAATGTCAAGAAATTTAGTTCACGTTAGTTAATAATCATTCTCCAATTCAGACTTCTCACCGCAATAGTTCCATACTAATCTATGCTTGCATGACTCATGGAGTTTTTAATTACTCACATGCTTAAGGCAACTATTTTGAATTTTCAGTCCCTAAAAATAAACCTTAATACACATCGTTCTTCGTGTCATCATCTCCACAATCAACACACATCGATGTCACTTATCAGATATGATAAATTAGAAATGTCATCCTATTGTCCGGCATTACATGTACCATAAACCAGTAATTAAATATAGCCTGGTGAGGTGGACTTTCATATCTGAATATCAAAGTACAGTACTCTACTATTAGCATGTAAAATACTATACTAAATATTATTATAGCATGTTAAATATTGTACTGTGGTTTTAGCATGTAAAATACAGTAACTGTGGTACTGTAGCATGTAAAATACTATACAATGGTACTATAGCATGTAAAATACTATACAATGGTATTATGGCATGTACTGTTACAAAAAAATTAAATAGCAAAATAGATTGCTGGAGAATTTATGAAACTAAGAAGCCAATTTTAATCAATTTTTGATAAATATAGAATTTTTTTATTGACATAAAATAGGAGATGCTGTATGCCAGATCCCACAGTAGACCAGCCTCTTGGGTAAAAAATGAATGGGTTTACCAGTACCTTCCTTAAGAAAAAGTTCATGAATTCATCATACAGTAGTTAAGGTCAGTTGCCCAATGAATATAAATCATGCTATTTTGTTGGAATTTACTCAGACCATGTTCAGACAACCTAACTCAAACTTTATGACATCAACCTACCAAAAACATCTAAAAACACATAGAAACTGTCCAAAAACAGCTTTGCCCTACCCCACCTTCTTACTGATTGTCCACATCAAACCGATCGTCACATCTAAAGTAAAAACAATAAAATCTTATTTTTAACTGCTACCAAAACTGTTCCATAACTACTGAACTACTGTATATATTAGCACATTTTAAAGGTAATTCTGACCGATTTCCCCCATAAAATTACAGCCAACTCCAATCATTCACCAAGAGTTGTGCACCATAAACATATTTTTAATGACTATTTTCTTTGAAATATCAGTATTTTCCTGCAACCTGATAAATCTTACTTTCCTACCGTCCGATTTTCTAGGTACAGTAGTTACTGTACAGTTTAATTGCAGGTCAGATGTCAGAAACAAATACGAATATGTTGTTCGACTTTCTGAATCCTATTAACTGATGGATTGGGTCACTATAGGAGAGTAGACTGTAAACTGTAATTTAGTATCCAATTCTGGAGCAACATCATTCTAATTTCTGGCTATAGCCATTCCACTGCAAGTATTGATTATTTTTGTAATTTATGGCTGATTAAAATCTCAAAATGCCAACAGAGCTAAATGGCTGTGAAAGATGTGTGCAGAATGTACACATCATTATAATACTCCATTGAGTATTTTTCTATTGAATGTTTTCTAATTAAATATAATGCACATTAATTTACTACTGTACAATATGATTTGGAATATGTAAATTACTTATTTCTAATAGAATAAATATTGGCATGGAATCAGTGCATGCGGCACTGAAGTTTTAATGCGTGTGTGTGAATTAGTCATGTGTTTAAATACAATAAACAGTGCAGGGTATTTTTTATGACAGTGTTGGTGGTTCTTCATAAACTGATCAAACAACTTGTCATATTTGCTCTTCAGCAGTAACCCATCATGCATTGCAAGCATGTTCCCTTTTTTAAATCATAGATTCTGAATGCGTCTGGTCAATATTTGGCACTAACTCCAATCCGAAGCATTCATAGCACTGCAGCGGTGATTCTCCAATATAATTCACAGCATCACCTTCCTAACTTCTTCTGCTGTTTTGCAGCTTTTTTCTTCTTTTGAATGATGGCATACAATGCATCAAGTCCTTCAGTTAAACCCTCACCAGTAATTGCACATGCTGACTGAAGATGAACTGGACAATGGTTACGGATGTCCTTTAACTTCAGCTCTTGTTCAAGGTGATCAACTGCTATTGCCTCCGGTAAATCCTGCTTGTTCGCAATAATCAACAATGGAACACCAAGGTTTTCCCGACATGTAGTCACTCGTTGAAGCTCGCAACGTGCTTCATCCAATCGTTCCATATCGCAACTATCAACAACAAATATAATTCCATCGGTATTACGTGTGTACGATTTCCATAGCGGGCGGAGCTTCTCGCTTCCACCGGCATCCCAGAAGCGGAAGCTAAGTCCTTTGGTTTTCCCACATTTTGATTTTATTTTCTCCGAATTGAACCCTATAGTCGGTACAGTGTTGATAAATTCATCAAGTTTATAGCGGTAAAGTACCGTAGTCTTTCCAGAATAGTCAAGTCCAATAAGGACAACATGAAGAGATTGAAATTTAGGTAAAATACTAGATGATGAGCTGGAACCCATAGTTAACAACCAGTCAACGAGATTGCAATAAATGATGTAACATCCAGCACATTATGTAAACATCATCATATCTGAAATTTAAAATGACAGTATATTTAAGTTTAATTTAATATGTTTAAAGGTAAAATAACAAAAAAATATGTTTCTTGTCCATTCCCTTTCTTAAATGTTTGTAATATCAAAGAAAAATTAATGTTGCAATCTGTGGTTCAATTGGAAATTTGATAAATTTTGGTCTTTTATAGAACAATAATAATAATAATAATAATAAAAACAATAAAAAAAAAAAAAAAAATTTTATGTTTAGATGTTAAAAGACTGCTTTTAAAACAATTGCTGATTAAATAACTCAAGTTATCCCTGATAGTATATTTAAAACGATGCATGAGGAGAAGCCAGCCAAGCACAACTGTAATATTCACCATTTTTCATCAACCTAGCAACTTTATTATAATTTTCTTGCCATGTAATTAGTAATGCTTCATCACCACACCAATGCATAGCATCATAAAGAACTTTTAGATAAATAAAATTCTTTGTAGTACACTACAAAAATAACTATTTAAAATAAAAAAAACTTGAAAATATTATGATCATTTAAAAATGCAAGTTCATGCCTGTATAAAAACAGAAAAATATGTAATTAACAGTGCAATAAAGGAATCAAGGAATATTTATTGTCAACAATTTGGATCCAGGTGTTTCAACGATGGGTTAGATATATATAAAAGAAAAAACTTTAAAAATTATAATATTTAATTTTATTGTTCGCAATAAATACTACCACTTAATCAAATCATGCACATGGTCAACAGGACAAATTAAAAGCACTGGAAATATAAATTCATCAATAAAGAATTTACCGAAGTCAAAAAGAAATTTACTGTTGTAAGATAGAAGACAATATTTCTGAGTCGTACTTCAATACAAATTAGGGGCCTACACTGAGATTCCAACAGAACAATAGAATACAGAATCCTCGAGCTTGAGGGACCAATCCACAGCAACAATGAACACAGAACAATAAATTAACAGAAAAGATACCAAATCATCGATCCACAAAAAAAAATTAAAAATCTACTCAAATATATAAAATGTACAGACTGACTAACACTAAATACACAAATGTTAATTTTATAAGGCAGGATACATTATTTATATTACTTTGAGGCTCTAACAATGACACACAAAGGACGCCTTGCCATATGGTAATGTTTGTTTTCAATTAGACAGTCCTACTAATGGTACCATCTTTTTTTTTTTTTTTACTGGTATAAAGTGTTTGTTTTACTTTTCAATGGAAAAATAAAATTTTATAGAAAAAACGTTATGACAGTATAAAACAGTCTGCTTTGTCGTTCTGGCGCCATCATGCAATGAGTGGAAAAAGTTTAAAATCGCACTACCATTATTGGTTGGAGCATGGAGGAAATAAATGGTTGGAGGCATTGTGCATTATCCCAGACATTTTTTGTCCAGACTATAAAATATTTTCTGTGAAAGGAAAAAATCCCCCATGAACAAATTCAGGCCTTAGAATCCATCCACGCATTTCAAATATGAGGGCTGATCTATTCGCAAATTTTTGCAGAAAATTAGGCCGAAGCCTGTCTTGATAATGTATACCACCAATATTAGTTAGGCTATAGTTATGATTCTCTGTATCTACCGTATATCCTCACACACAATAGACCACCTTATACCGTACACATACAAGATACTTTCTAATCACATAGTTCAGAAAGAATATACAGTAACCATTTTTTCCTTCAACTACAATAAAATAGGGCCTCTGTCCGGTTTCACCTGAAGAAACATATAAAATACCAGGCCTTACCAATAGGCAATGTTAAGCCCTAGGGGTACGTAGTAGGCCCCCCCCCCCACCCCAATAACAAACTAGGGCTAGCAGGGATGTAGTTATGGTGGGCAGGGTCACCCTGCCTTGAAGATTTCCACCCAGTCTAAAACTAATTTCATGGCCCTCCACCCACCCTTATTATTAACCTGTTTTTCCCTCCTTAAAATCCACTCTTATTATAATAGAGTTTACCAATGTTGTCACCCACCCACACTCAAAATGTCTATCACCCACCCTTGGTTTTCCACAGCTACAACCCTGGGATAGGCCTAGGCCTAGGCAATGAATCAATGATGATGATGTAGCCTATCCTAGCCTAATTAAATAGGCCTAGGCCCTAGGCCCCTAGGCCTAATATAATATTAATAAATCAGTGAAACAAAGCCCATCAAAATACTGTAAACAAACTCGATTCACCTGTCAATTCAAAGACTAGGCATTAATGAAGGTCATACACAGGGAGTTGTTATAGCTAGTCTCCTCCTACTAGGCCTACTACTACTATGTAGTACTAGGCCTACTATTAAGGATGAGCCTAGCTAGCCCTAGGTGACATGTCTAGCCTCCGTTGCCACTCTGAAAACAGAGCACACCCTCTCATCCAGCTTGTCAAACAATTCAGAAAATAAATTAACTTACCAATTTTGAAATCTCTCCTTCAAGTCCAAAATGCAAACCTTTCTTTCTTAGATTATTATACACTAAATAGGATTAATCTTTCTTCAGAAAGGCAAATTAACACTAGCCTCGGGGTCTTCTTGCAAGAATTACAAACACACAACATCAGAAGCACAGAGCTTCTTGCCGTCTAGCTGCACCAGTTGCTGAGCCTCTAGTCACATTAAAATTCGCATCCTTGGCAGCAATCAATAACAACAATGCGTGTGATGACGCTATCGCTTAGCAGATCTTTAAATGTAAACAAGCACTTAGCTGCATGGATATTATGAGGGCGCTAGATAATTAATTGATTGGTTCAAAAACTGTGAGAAAAGGGAAACATAATTATTTTATCCCATTAATTTCATTCAAAATCAATTCGCAGCTAGCCATTTGGATAAAAGGCTTTAGCGCCTCCCTGAAGTTTTACCAGCACTGGTATTTGTCTTTGACTATGAAATATATAATATCTCCATGTTAGTATACCATAGTACAGCACATGATAATGACTTTTAACAACTTTAACAACTGACCAATCAGAACAGGGCCCGGAATACGCGCATGTCCTACGATTTCCCCACCCCTGTTGGTGCTACCACTGTTTAAAATAAATCCCAAATTAAAATTAAAGAAGTTAAAAGGATATTCTTACATGTTTTATGGCAAACAAAGACAGTAGCAAGGTCATCAGAGTGGATAAGATCATAGAAGGATCTAGACTCCAATGCACCAGGCTTGTAGCTTATTAATTCACTTCCCCTGAAAATGTTACAAAAACAATTTCTGAGAAGAATAGCCATGTAAACAGTATAGGAATTTATTATCTTTTTTAAACCATTAAAAATAGCACCATTTATATGAGCGTGTACCTAGTAGTTATTGTGGGCGTGGTTTGGCGCAAAAGTAACAGTTTGGATTTTAATGATTTCGCAAGAATCAAATTAAAAATTAAGTATAAAGTCAATTAATTTTGTTATCACCAGCATTCATTTTCTCTCTCAAGCACAAAGTGTGGCTGTGCCCCCCCCCTGTCCCCCCCCCCGCTGGCGCCACCCATTGATACTTACCCTTGAATGATACTGTATGTGTTCAATTTTACTATTTTTAGATCTGATGAGGAGAGCCCTAGAAACACTCGGCTGAGTGATTTATAGTTGATTGATTAATAGATCTTTTTAGCTCTACTGCCTCTATTATACTACCCTCATCGGAGCTTTCAAGATTACGAGAATTTTTTTTTTTACCTCATATCAACGGATTTGATTTTTAAATCAATTGTTTTGTCCAGAATGCACTCTGTTTTACGCCTCTGCTGCAACTGACACAAACGGCCGAAAAACAGCAAACAGGACCATAGAGGGCACTTTGGATGTGGACTTATCAGGTTGGAAAAGTGCCTCATTTTTTCAGAACAATGTATTTTCTGTACAAAGATACAAACAAAAAATTTAAAACAAATTTTACTTTTGATTGCTATACCAAATTATTAGAATACGTTTTCTACATTAAAAATAATGGTCATAATATTGTTACAACAATCTGAATGAATTTATTCCCTAAGGTCGTAATAACACAAAATTATTTAAACATTCAAAACAATTGCTCTCTAAGGTCATAATAACTCAAAATTATTTAAATATTCAAAATAATAGTTATATAATAAATATATCTTATAAAGCCCTTTACATTGTTGGGGAAATCCGTCACTGAACAAACAAACAACTCATTACAATATCACTCCCTCATTCTAATTCCTATATACATGACTTACCATAGTATTCCAGACCTCTATATACAGTGGCGGATCCAGGGGGGTTCTGGGGTTCGGACGACGAACCCCCCTCAGTGAAGAAACCTAACAAATACTATGGGTCCTGACTTACAAAATTCATGCTAACTAGACGCGGATCCAGACCTTCGCCCACTTCGCCCAGGGGAAGGTCAGGGTGAGAATTCAAAATAAAATGTTGACCAATTTTTCCAACAATCATACTTACTTTCGTTCACTTATTTTGAACATTACCACTAGGAAAATGTTTAAATCCACACTATCATATACCTTACACTTTTAAACCGATTGTACAGGCCCTACCAGCGAGAGAGAGGTACATCTCAAATACTTTATGGTCTTCCACTTCTATAGCGCATGATACAGTGCGTGCATAGCAAACGTTATGTAACCACTAATACTTAGGTCCAGTGGCGTAGGTATGGACAGTGCAGTCAGTGCACAGCACTGGGGCCCGGGGCTATTGGGGCTCGTTCAATAGGTCTAATGATCTAAAAATATAACTTTAAAAATCATTTTTTAAACTTTAAAAGGACCCTTTAATAATAATAGGTTTTAGATACTATATATTATTATATTCATGACAATTTACGTATTACCTATTTTCCAAACTTCGCTGCAAGTTAAAAAACAACAACAAAACAAGCGCTTACGTATACGATGCACTACTTTTTTTGCAATCACATTTCTAAAGCAATAAAATACCGTCAAGCACATTTGTGTTTGTGGTAATAAAGTTGATTGAATTATTATACGTTTTTAAACACTTCAGATCATCATAACATCATGAATACATAGATTCAATTCACTGCAAGTAGGTCGATGACTGTTCTATTGAATGGTAAATGTTATTTTTGTGACGATAGACAATACCTGGATTTGCGTCAGGAGAATCAATTAGGGGGTCTATGTATTTTGCCCAACCTGTCGTGAAAATATATTGAATACTCAGTGCGTGATTCAGTATATACTTTTTTAAATCACATTTCTAAAGCAATAAAATATCGTCACGCACATTTGTATTTGTGGTATTTTAAAGTTGGTTCAACTATTGTGTACCTGGATTTGCGTTAGGTGGCTTTTATGTGCCATTTTGCCCAACCTGTCGTGAAAATGTACTTAATATTCCATGCGTGTGAAAACACTTGCAAAAAATGCTCCTGCCTATACTTACTACTATTATTGAATTGTTATTATTGCGATGGAATAAACAATCAAGGGCGTCGATCCGTGGTTGAAAGTGGGGTGGCGGGTGGGGAGGGGTGGGGGACGAAATGAAAAATAAAGTCTTGGGCAGTAGGCGAAGTCCCCGAGAAGCTCTGGCGTCAATAGCCTTTTAATTGATTTTAAGCAATGCAATTAACATTTATTTCCATATGAAATTTTTAAAATATCCAGTGGCGGATCCAGTAATTTGAAATAGAGCTGGGCACAGAGAGGGACCTTCACAGATGGAGAGTGTAGACTACCTGAGCCCCACCATGGTTGGGGCTGAGGTAAGAAAATTTATGATTATGGCACCTCTAGTTCGTCGGAAATGGCACTCTTAGACTAAATTTGAATATAATTTTCATTTTTCTCCACTTTTAAATTAAAAAAAAAAAAAAATAAAAATAAATTAGGGATGGTGTGCCTTTTCTGATTGCTTTAGTATTTGTTTCAATTGTATTGCTTGAAAAAGTCACCGTCATTTTTCACTTTTCGATTGGTGCTATGCTGACCGCCCACCGCGTAGAGGCTCCATTTTTACCTCTAGCGACTTCGTTAGCTTTAAATTGCCATTTCGGCTGTTCACAAATCAAATATCTTGTTCATTCAAAAAAAAAAAAAAAAAAAATCGGTTCGTGTGGGAATCGAATATATATATATAAAAAAAACTTAGCCCGTCCTCTCACGACCTCCGGTTTTACTACCCTTGATGACAACATGACTTAACCGAGGGAGGAAGCACCGCGACCCCTAAGCCATAAATGCGATGAACCTAGTTCCATACCAAGTACAACTCTGACACTACTAGAAAAAATTATTCGTATATATACAACTGTAGGTTAATATTACGCATGGTCATGGTGTCAAAAGTATAGGCCTTGGGCCAAGAGGGTTTATTTTCGCTTTCTGTAGTACAGGAAATGTAGAATTAAATTTATAATCGACTTTTCATTGTTTTCATCTCTATAACTTACGAATTTTTTTTAAAATAGACAACAATTTTGAAAATTCATTATGCAAATGAGAAAAAAAAAATAGACCAATCATGTTGCGAAATTGAATGTATTGTACTCGTTGATGACGTCGCGAATTGCGAAATAACAACAAACAACAACCTTTCATGTCCGAGCCTAGGCCGTCATGGAAGCTCACTGGCTGACTGTGTAATTCATGTTGAACAGACTCAAAACTGCAGACGAAAGGGTTACAATCTTTTCAGAGATAGCTGGAAGAAAGTTTTAGACAGTGCACAGCAATGGAACTTTAACTTAAAGAACCCAGAGAGGTATTTGTACAGCCTAGGCAAGGCCCAGGCCTACTTAGTTTAGTGTAGGGGCCTATGCCCCAACTGGCCCTTAATTTTTTAGGCCTGCCTATACTTGTCATTTTAGGCTAGCTCGGGTCAAGCCCTACTTACTTAACATTTATATTATTATTATTATAATTATTATTTATTAAAATAATATTATTATTATTATTATTATTATTATTATTATGTTATTATTATTATTATTATTATTAAAATAATAATAATAATAATAATAATAATAATATTAAATCATTATTATATTATGGTTATTGAAGTATTTTGTGTAAGCATTTCGACTCTTAATTGAATAATAATATAACGTACTTACAATGTAAAATGTACTCACTATAAATATTCCATTAAGATATCCTGGACACGGATGAAATATTTATAGTGAGTACATTACATCGGACGTTATATTACTATGTAATTAACAGAAATGGCTTACACAAAATACTTCAATAACCATAATACAGTAAGTCGCATATGGCCTTAACACTGAATAGGTAGATGCAAGCAACAGATGAAATATATTAAATCGATTACTGTATTATTATTGTTTTATTTTTATTAATTATATATAAATTCATTATTATTACGTTTTATTGTTAAATTATTGTTATTAAAATATTATTATTATTATCATTATTATTGTGCATATTGTTAGGTATATTCTGACGTTACTACAATAACTCAATTTACATCCCCTGTATAATTATTGTTTAATAATGGCTATATAAAATTCAGTTGACTAACTATAATTTTTTTTTTTTTTTTAAATTAGGAAAAGCAGAATCCTATGTATGTAGATAATATTTAACATTAGTATATACGTACGGGTCATAATACCGTAATATACAAAAGGAATAAATCGTTTATAGTAGAAATTGTGCACTTTTGAGTTTGTAAAAACATTGGCCTAATAAGTATGCACGCTTCCAATTTTAACAACGTTAAGTACATTGTTTTCACAATAAGTTTAGCCTCTGCACCCATGAAATTGATCTAGTGTTTCTGAGATGGTTACGAAATGTATAAACAATTGCGTTTTTACTCAGTTTTGGTCCGGAAAATACGTACCGCACTTGGAAAAGTGAACAGGCAAAATTCATGAGTCATGCGTAATGGTTATTCTTTCCATACACGTTTAAAAGTGGGGTTTTAATTATAGGAGATTGGTGAAAAGTAGGGGGTGGGGGACAATCGGTATGATTTCCCCTACTTTGAAAAGTGGAGGTGGGGTGACATGTCCCCTGTCCCCTACCGATCGATCCCCATGTAAAGAATATCTGGATTTGCATCAGCAGAATTAATTGGGCGGGGGGGGGGGGGGGG